GTGGCCTCGAGCCCGCGCCGAGGCCCCCCGCCCCGCGACAAACGGAGAGCTCTGGGCCCGCCGCCGTTGATTCGACGTCGTTGTCGTCGTCGCCGTTGCTGACGTCATCGTCGCCGCCGTCGGCGTCGCGCTGTCGTCTCTCCCAGCAACGCGCGCGTCCGCCAGCGGGGCGGGGGGATGGCGAGGCACAGAAAGTAACACAGAGCGGTGGAGGTGGCGTCCAGGCAAGAGGGCGAGAGGAAGTGGGAACTACCGAGGGCGCGCGGATGTGGTGAAAAGATTTCCCCCGAATGGTGGAGCGCCCTGGGCGCATGTAGACAGAAGCGAAACATATGTCTGATGATGGGCGGCTTGTAAAATACTGGGCGGGGCACGAGTGCTGCGACGGTGGGATCAATCAAAATGTTGGGTCTCATGGACAGGAAGGCGGTGCCCAGAAGGCGCTACGCGTGACTTGCCCGACGTGGTCCGAACAGCCAATAGAAACGATGGCCTACTGGCAGCGGGAGCGTCACAGCGGCACGTACCAACGGAAGGTTTGCGGCCCCACCTGCGTCCGCAGAAACTGGGCTCGACTCTGTCTGCGCCCTTGAAAGCACGCAGGAGAGAGCAAGGGCTTACCACCCAAGTGAACGCGTTTTGGCGCTACGGCTGGCGATGTGAACGGTGTGATGCCCGTTGGCTGCAGACTGGCGGGGCATTGTGGCTGGCATAGTATGATGCGCGCGCACGGCATTGCTGGCGTACACGCACAACGCGAAAATCGTGAGACTCATTTCGCCCAGGCGAAACTACGCTTGTCCTGGTTCTGAACGGTTCCACACTAGATATCGCAGCCCCTGCAAAGAAGCAAGCGCACAATAGAGGCGCTCTACCTTGCAAATCGGTACGAAGTAAATCTGTATAAAACTAGATCTCCCTCGAGCGTGCCCGGCGCGCACTTCAATTACCACAATCATCATCAGACATGATCATGGTCACCATCATCATAAGACATGATCATGATCAGTATCGTCATCGTCTGCATCATCATCATCATCATCATCATCATCATCATCATCATCATCATCATCATCAGCATCGTCATCGTCATCATCATCAACAGCATCAGCACCATCGCCATCATCGCCATCATCATCGGCAGCAGCGTGAGCAGCAGGATCGTCGTAATCACCCTCATCAGAATCATCCTCACCATCGTCCTCAGCCTCGTCATCATCATCATCATCAGCATCATCATCATCAGCATCATCATCAACATCATCATCGTCCTCATCCGCATCAACATCCTTATCATGATGCGTATCATCATCATCACTACCACCACCATCACTACCACCACCACCATCATCATCATCATCATCATCATCATCATCACCAACATCATTATCATCATCATCGTCATCATCATCATCATCATCATCATCAGTATCATCAGCATCAGCATCAGCCGCAGCATGATCAGCATCATCATCATCATAATCAGCATCATCGTTATCACAATAATAATAACCCGCATCCCATCATCCTGATCATCCTCATCATCCTCATCACCCTCATCCTCAGCATCATCATCATCATTAGCATCGTCCACATCCGCATCCTCATCCTCATCACCATCAGCGTCACCATCATCATGAGCACCATCATCGTCATCATCATCATCACAGCATTAGTATCATCGTCCGCATGAGCATCATCACCATTAGAACCACCACCATGAGTATCGATGATATTAGCATTATCAGCATCATCATCAGCATCAGCATCAGCATCAGCATCAGCATCAGCATCAGCATCAGCATCAGCATCATCAGTATCGTCATCCTCATCACTGTCAGCAGCAAAGTCATTATCATCATCAGCATCATTATCAGCATCAGCATCACCATCAGCAGCATCACCATCAGCACCAATCTCGCCGACAACATCATCAGCATCAGCATCAACCAAACCAAGCCGCAGACGCATCATCAGCATCGACATCACCATCATCACCATGGTCGTCGTCTTCATCATAATCAGCATCATCATCAGCTTCATCGTCGTCCGCATCCCCCGATCATCCTCATCGTCCTCCTCCTCAGTATCATCCTTATCATCATCATCACCATAATCATCGTCGTCGTCATCGTCATCGTCATCGTCATCTTCGTCATCATCATCATCATCATCATCATCATCATCATCAGCATCATCATCATCATCATCATCATCATCATCATCATCATCATCATCATCATCATCATGATCATCATCATCAGCAGCATCAGCATCATCATCCTCATCATCAGCATCATCGTTAGCATGATCATCGTCCTCGTCCTCGTCCTCGTCCTCGTCCTTGTCCCCATCATCATCCACATCCGTATCCTCCTCACTGGATTCCCTCCGCATCCTCATCCTCCCAAAAACGCGAACGATCGCTGCCAGCAGGAAGATGCACCCCACGATCGGCGGCATCGCCACGCCGTTGAGCACCTGACCAGGATCGCCAGCG